GCAGTGGCCATGTGGAAAGGAAATACTCAAACAACATATTGCAGCTCATCAGCATAGCATGTTGAACATAGTTGGACTTCAGCAACCTCTTCCATTCTGTCCTTTTAGTCCTGGGAGCTGCCAGGAGCACCTGACTTCTGTAGATGCAGTGGAAAAAACAAGACAAGGGGGGAAAAAAAAACCAGGGCAAGAACACTGGTGGCTATAAAGAGGATGAGTAAATCTATATAATAATTTACCAGCTTAAAGTTAGGAAAAAAATTAGAAATTACTAGGAAAGATTTAATCATAATCCTTTCAAAAACCTGAAGCAATTAGACAAAGCCAGAATTACCAGCAAAGTTGACAAAGGATTTGATGAATGTGCAGCTCAGCTTACAGAGACAAAGGCACTGTGCAAGTCCACTGAGTCCAATAGAGCTACTCCAAGGCTGGGCTTTGCTAGCAATGAATAGCAATAAAAAACCCTCGTATTTCATGGATTACCTAAGATAAGCAATGTAAACACAGTCCATTACCCAGTCCTGTTCAAGCTTATAGTCCTTCTTCATTGGCCATTACCTAGGGATCTTGGCAGGCAGAAAAACAGAGCACAAGCAGTGTTGGTGGTGCAGGGGGCGTTGGCAGAATCTGGGATTTGAATGTTCCTGCAGGTCTCACTGAGATAAGCTAGGGCTTGGTGTCTGAATACCCCATCGCTATTTCTGCTGTCCCTGATCGGGCAAGACAAGCTGTGAAATCTCACAGGTGTACAATGTTTAATTAAAAGGCGCTCCGTTCTGAGTTTTGCTAAGTAACAGAGAACAATGCTGCACTGGATTTTCTCTTTCCATCTGTGACTCAGAGCCTGCTCTCTTACTTGTGGATGTGAACATATTTTGGAAGTTAGATAAATGTGCAGTCTGTCCAGATACTGAACCTTCCTGTTCCCAGTACCTGGGGGGATGTGATTTCCACACATGTGGATACAGGCAGAGTCACCTCCACTGGGGGGATGGGAGTTGAGAAAATGAAGTTCCAGCAGTTGCTTTCATACCAATTCACTCCATGACCTTGGCATGGCATTTTACTTCATCTGTAACCTGAGGATAGAGGCGTCAACACTTGTTGAAGTAGTAATACATTCAACATTTACATTTCTTGAGTGCGGGGAACTGAAACAGAACTTCCATCACATGGTCAGCTTTCAGATGCCTCAGATTTCATGAAAGTTCAAAATCTGAGATTTCAAATTAATAAATTGATAGAGATTAATGAGATTCATCGTGTATTTTGATCCAGCTGTTGTATTACACTCCAGAGATCCCACCTTGTGCCATTCAGATGCAAAGCACCAAGTCAGGTGGTAATAAATGTAAGCCATACAACTGGAAAAACACAGGAATTCAGTCAACTGTAGAGTGATGGGAATAGTTTGGTGATGGCTGGCGTGACAGCAGCACCAGAGCTGGGAGTGGATTGTTCTTCTTTTATGAGGAAAATGAGGACCCAGATTAGCATTTTCAAGTATCGGATGAATACAATCGCTGAAAATCAGAGTGACTGTTAAATATTTTCTTCACATTCTTTCTCTAACCATTATTGGGGACACACTTCAACAGTCCAATTTTAAGCTGTCTTGCAAAATAGCAGGCTAAATTCCCTTTATATTCAAAATAGGCTCCTCTGGAACATTATTAATCTCACCTATTTTCAGTGTCTACATTATTATGAGAAGCATCTTACTATAGAAGTGCCAGCCTCTGCCTCTCTCTGATGAGAATGAAAGTTTGAGGCAATTACCTTGGATGTGGGGGGTCTATTGCAGACATCTGACATTAAGGGAGAAAAATTCCTTATCTCTTTTAGCTTTTTCATTACATGATCTCAACCTTTCAAAGTAAAATACTTGCAAAATGAGCACAGAAGGAGGAACTGTAGAAGGAACATGGAAACTTCAGGATAGTTTTAAGTATGATGGTTAAGCGGTCTTGCTTTGTATCAACATAAACATCCCAATAATTGAGGACTTGAGGATTTGGTGACCAAAGAACTCTAACCAAGAGAGATAAAAATAGTTTTAAAAACTCCCAGTCTTTCCTTGCTTGTTAAAGACCTGTTTCTAGAATCAGATCGTAGTGGATAAGAATGACAGAATTTGATTCTTACAAAGGAAACCCATTTACAGATTTCTGCTTCAGAAGGCAGGCAGTTTTCCTGCTTTGCGGGGCAGCTCGGGAAGTCAGACCCAAACATAATAAATTTGTGCACGCTATGGGAGTCACTGGGTGCGACTGTGTCCTGTGATGTGCACCAGACCTCGCTGGAGGATGTAATCCCTCTGCTCTGCGACTTCCCCACTGCACCACATCTCTTGAAGCAATGCCCAAGGGCTTCAGGAGTGGGCCACCTCCCAAGGTGGTGTTTGGTTTGCAAGGGAACTCGGAGTCAGTTTTGTAACGAGGCTTCTGCTGCGAGTGCTCTGCATGGACAGTGACCTGCTCCAAGGTCATTTTCTTTCTCCACAACCACGAAGAGGAGGATTCTTCTTCCAGTCGAACAATTAGTGGCCCATCATTAGTCACATCTATACCTGTTGTTTGGTATTTTGAAAGCCTTTGTTTCGGAGGCCAGAAGGGAGTGGGAGAGCCTCGTGCTGATAGTATGCACAGGGGTTACCACAGCCATGCATGGAGGCACCTGATTTGTGATGGGAGAGGGGTGTCTGGCTGACATCTCCATTGTTCTGCTGTATTTTCTTCTGCTGCCTCTACGCTGATAAGCAGAGATAACATTATGGAAAGAACTAAGCAGATTCATCTTTCCTGCTTTACTGGAGTTGCAAGAGTTTTTCTGCCATCCACTGGTTTTTAAAACAGTTAATCTCATAAATATAATCTCGTATTAATAACGGAAGTGGCTTATCCTGATTTGGTAGGTCACATTGGCTCTTTATGTGGGTGCATGAGTGTGGCCTAAAGACCGTACAAATTGGCATTCTTAATCACGTACTGCACTGTCCTGAATCTCTCTCAGTTGTTTCTTGTCTGTCCCACAGAAAAGAAAAAAAAAAAAAAAAATCTCCTTTGAGTCTGGGGTGCAGTTCTTTAAATGCCATGCAAAAAAAAAGGGGGGAAAAGAAACTGCTGACTAAGGAAATATTTTAAAGCCAAAAAGGTACTTAATAACCTGAGCTGAAATCACTGTACCTCCTCTGGGCTGATGCACTTTCATGCTTCTGTGGAGGTCTTTGGTACCTTGCAGGACTGGGCTTTGACAACAGAAGTACTGCACCAAAAATCAGGCCATTTCAGTCATGAGGGATGCATTGATTTATTCCGAGAATAAATCAAGTAGAGTAACAAAACAATACATGTTGCATATGAGATGAACGTCTCTTTCATAACTTTCCTGGCCGGGGGAATTTCTGCAGCTTGCAATGTTGTTCTTCCCTTCCCACCATGCTTGTGATCGTCCTTTTTATTAAAACTTGCATGCCCTGTGTTATTGGCATCCAGGTGATAAATTCAAATGTCATTTTTCTAGAAGAATCCAAATAAAAATAGTTTAACTCTCTTTGACTTCTCTCCAAATGAAATGCTGTGACACCTCGTCTTTTTGTCAGTTATGCTCTTATTTTACCTTGTTTTGTGATGGTTTATTTGCAGTAAGTAGCTCATCATCAATACTCAAGGGTTTCACTGAATCTACGTGTCTTTTTACTGATGTGGAAGGGGTAAAAAGAAGAAAAAGAAAGCACTAAATGACCTCATATAAGCAATATGGAGTCTGTGTACATAAAAGACAAATATTTTGGCCGAATTCAAGTACAGAGAAATTGCTGTCTTCTTACAGAAGAGAACAGAAAATTTATGATAGTTCAGATTTAGGCAGTGAAGATTGAAAATGGAGTTTGAATTAATTCCATAACTTGTCCCTTTCTGTTGGCCTACACAAAAAAATACATGGTAACAAACTAAATATAACCAAAAAAAAAAAAAAAGGTAACAAACTTGAAACCACAAAGGAACCACAAAGGAATTGCCTTTTAACCAACAACAAAACAAAAATGAGAAAAGATCAGTGTTCAAATCCTGCTACCTCTGTGAATCGCAGCAAACCACCATTCACTTAAAGATACATGTGAGAGCTCTGCAAAATCTTCAAAGCTTGTTTCAAGGGGAAATACAGTTACAAAGGAGTGAACCGGTGGCTGTTTCTAATACTGCTTTGAGAAGTGCTTTCCACCCTTGTGTAAGTCTGCTACCTCTTTGGATCAGTTTCTTTGTAAATTCATAGCAGCTTCAGACTACCTTGGTCAGAAATGAATGTTTGCACTGAAGCTTTTTACTTTCCTGAGACGCTTTGGGATGTAGCTTCTGTTGAAAGCACATTGATGTTTTAAAGCCTTTTGAAATGATGGCACATTTCCTGCAGTTCGCTGCTTTTGCACCATCTGGCAATTGAAATCTGCTCAACACCAAAGAGGTTTTAGAAGGCATAATGCAGCCACGCTTGTCACTCAAAATAGATGCGATGAGGTCAGTCCTTAGGAAACAAGATTAAACCCTTTGAGTAACCTTAAGATTCATTCAGTCCTTGGTGTGTGTTTTGTTCTTCAGGCCGTGTCAGCAAAGGCAGGTATTTAATCGCTACCGGGCATCCTGGTGGTGTAGCCGTTAGGAGACCATTTAGTTACTCTTGGCGATAGTGTCTCTCAACACTTGTCCATTGCACAATGAATTGACAGTCTCCAGGCCTCAGAGTAAGTGTTCGGTAAAGTTTTGTGTTGTAAAATAAAGGTAGGAATTCATGCGCTATGTGAAGTATCCGACACCAAGCTCCAGCCTCTTCAGTGTATGACAGTGATACGTACTCGATCCCGCTACGCTGTGTTATGGGCTGCCACCTCGCTGGGTTACTGCTCTCGGTATTAGAGGACTTGGTTTTATCAGAGTGCAAAGCAGGACCTGGGATTACTGGACAGCTGTAAAACATTTTGCTGTTTTTATTGTTCTCAGGGTGGAACCTGCACTTACCCGGATCAAAGAAGACCGAAAGCGGATCATCTTACCAGCAATTGACAATATCAAGTACAACACTTTTGAAGTACAGCAATACGCCAACGCAGCCCACGGCTACAACTGGGGCCTCTGGTGCATGTACATAATCCCACCGCAGGACTGGCTCGATAAAGGGGATGAGTCAGCTCCCATCAGGTAAATCTCCCATGTGCTGTCATTTCCGTACTAGCAATGTTTCCATCTCAGCTGTCTCCCGAGGGGGAATTTAAGTGAAGCAAGACGATAGGCTTTGTACGGGGATGAAGCTGAAGAAAACAGATGGCTCTACAAAGCTATGGACGCATGTGTCGCATCTCAGAGCTGCATCACAATGTACATAGAAGTGCATGTGCTCTAGTTGTGAATGTGTGATTCAAGTTCACGTTGTGGCCCTTAGTAGCATAGCAGGATCTTTTTTACCTATGTTTTATTTTCCAATGGACTCTGGCACGAGTAAGAAGCCAGTGAAACATTGTGTGTATGAGAAACAAAGGTATTTTGTATGTGACTACAAAGAGGCTGGCTTCACTTTTGGTCTGTAGGCAGCACTCTTGGCCATCAGCCCAAATCAGAGCTTCCCAGCAGCACTAGTAGGAGATGTGTTAGCCTTGCCTTGTTGGAGAGTTGCTCTTTTTTTGGAGAACTTTGCACATGTTCTGAGTTTTTCTGCTGGAGGAGTTTTAAAATGAAACTGGACCACGTAGTCAGTGTCATTTTATTTTTCTCTATAAAGGAACATTTTACCTTACAAAAATGGCATTTTGTAAGGAAATACTGTTTCAGGAATTGTGTTAGTGTTTTTGAGAATTGTTACAGTGGGAAAACAGGAACTGATAAGAAAGGGGCTTTCTTTCCCCTTCATTTGAAAATTCGTACCTTCTAGCCCTTCATCTCCAGTGCAGATGCTTGTCTAACAGCTCCTCTGAGATGTACTGTGCTGGGGGAAGGGTACTATTGTCAGCAACTGTTGAAATGAATGCTAAAAAATACAAAGCCCAGGTGTGCACTTTGGGTTGCTCTGCCCTATTTTTGAGATTTCTTAGGAAGGACACAAATTACGACCTTAGAGTCATCTTCATTTTGATGTATATCAGGTTCATCCTCAAGTAAGCTAGAACTCTATTGTATGGTCCCAATGTAGGCTCTGGCAGAGAAGCTGATGTACTTCCCTCCCAGTGTAGAGCTTGAGCTGTCAGGTCCTGAGAAGTCCATCCAAGCACTTCAAACAACATACTTTGAACTGATCCTTTCAACACTGAAAGGATCCAAGTGGTCTTTTGGAAGTGAAAGGACACAGACGAACTGTTCACGTTTCTAAGTGATTGGTTGGATGGGGCCATCTCACAGGATCTGTCCCTCATGCAGGGGGTAATATTTCAATCTGTATTTGAACAAGTGTTGCAAGTTGCTCTTAGGTTCGTTCTCACGCCCTGTGACTGCAAAACAGAGCTATACAGTAACATTAACCTTATTTACCACAAGACAGCACAGTCCTTCATCACTGACCCTTTGCGCAGCTTGAAACCTCAATAAGCAGGAAAGTAATTACTTAGGAAATCAGTTTTCCTGGATAACATGCCCTGCTCTCCTCACATTGTTTTACAAGTGCAGGTGTGTTATATCTATTTCACTCAGCCCTGAGAAATAGTTTATTGATGAAGGAAAATTAATCAGCCAAAGCTTTCATTCCTGAAATCGGGGTTTTAGTCTTTTATTCCTGAAAGGTTTTGCACACTTCATTACTTCCAGTTTATTTGTGAAATCACTGTATTAATTTTCACATGAGTTGTTCTAGTATTTGAGTATCTTCTGTTCTGGAGGCAATGATACATATCAGATAAGATTACGAGGTTAAACCTCGGCAAGTTCTTTAGACTCCCTAAAGTATGGAAGCTGCATCTGCAAAACACTTCTGGAAATTCAACTACAGATCTTTTTAGTAGCGCATAAGGAATCTCATCCCTATAATGCTGGGATAAAGAGGTTTTTTTCAGCAATACTGATTTACCATGGGCCTGATTTACCATGGGCTTTCCTCAGGTTTATGTTCAAGCTCTTGCCAGAGTTATACTGGCACTGAGTTGGACTGATACAGAAGTGAATAAGATCCAAACTCAAGCACTGAGTAGTGTTGAAATCTGATGCACGTAAGTAGCCGGCTCCCGAGAGCAGTGATTTTATTCTGAACCCAAGTGAAGAAACCCTCCAATTCAATAGTGCATAAACTGCCTGGAGACAGATGAGACAAGCAGCAGAAGGAGGAGAGCGCCCAACCCTCCCTGACAAATATCAGGAGCACCGAGATGTTGTGATTGCATAAGTATCTCTCCCGCAAATTATGAATTACATGCCCTAAAATGCAGAGACATCAACGTCGAACCGTGAACACTTACCTGTCTCCCTGGGAGCATGTGCTTGGAAGGCAGAGATCTAGGAGAGCGGAGCATCCGCTTCATAGCCACACTGCCCTGATTTCTGATGGGCCTCCGAAGCAGCAGCACCTGGATGGACTTACTAAAGCATTTGGCTGTACTGTTGTGTGCTGTTGTGTTATGCCTGCCTATAGAAATGCAATGCAATTTTGTGGCTTTTAAGTGATATGCCAGCATAATTATGGTAATGGAAAGAGTGAACGTGCGAGCGTTATTGATGAAAAGAATCAGGAAGTGTGTACTTAGAATTGAGATTCGAAAGCACCCATGATGGGAACTTAGTAGCTGTAGAAAATTTAAGGTATATTTTCAAAAGGAAGGGGAAGTCAGACTAGTGAGCAAACGTTTTCAAAAATCTCTGTTGGTTTGGTACAGATTTTGGTTTTGTAACCAACTTTCCAAACCATGTACTGCAACCATGATTTGTGTTTCAGTCCAGTTTGCAAGGCGTGCAAACTGGTCCACATTGATGGTGTTTGGATCCATGTGTCTGTTCAGTGCATTCATAAGATTGCAGGACTATTCATCAGCATGAAAAATGCAAGTTCATTTAGTCCTTGCTGACACTGTCCCTCTAAAGGCTTCCTTTGACACTCTCTTCAGCAAATAGTGGGTTTGTTTTGTGTCTCTGTGTGTTTTGTAAAAGAAAAGGCTAATAACTAATAACCCCGTGACTGGTTTTGTGGGTGGTGTAGCTGAATACTTCCTCCCAGATCTCCAAAGGGATTAAAGATTTTCAGTGTTAAAAAAATACGCGTACCCTGGTATCAGTGAGGATCAGAGCCCTGGCATTTCTGATGTTTGTGTTGTATCGATCTGCAGAAATGGGTGAGACGTAGAAAGTAGAGTCCAATTCCTGTTTTCTTCTGGGATTGCACAACAGATGTGCTTACTTTTCTCAGAGGTTTTCTGTTTGAAGCCTGATCCTCTGCTTTCTTGAACACTAACAGTGGTGTGATCCTATTCAGAGCCTGGCTGGGAAGGAGCAGGAACTGTCCCTCAAGTCAGCGGGGCACCGTAGAGGCAGTCATGTCAAGGGCACACCATAAAATGTCAGATCAGCTGTTGTGGTCCAAGTGACAAAGGGGATGTGGCCTTGAAGTGCAAAGAAAGGTAAAGAAATAGCAAGAACAAAGTGTCAGATTTTGTAAAGATTTCTGATACAGTTTAAAGTCGGTTCTTGGGTTTTTTCCCCATTAATACTCTGAAATTCAGAACAATTGATGTTCCCTGAATTGGCTTCTGCAGGCAATCCGTTTTGCATGTTTGACATTTGAGATGTAAGCTGTCTCTAACGTGAAGATTTAAATGAGGATTGTTATTTTGACACGCTGTGTCCATCACGTCATTTTCCATTTGTGTTCCTGAGAACACACTGCCCAAAAACGTCCTTATCATCTGGCAACAAACTGTGTAATAAAGAATCCTGTTTCAGCGGGTTTCTAATGAATTTGACTATGCATTGAAACAAGCTGGGGGTTTTTCTGTATGTGGAAGATAGTACTGGTTTTTGGAACAGCAAGGAAGGTTTCTGGTATCCTGAGCTCTGGCTCTGGCTCGTCTTCCCTCACCTGCCGTGATTATGATGGACTGCTCTGTGTTTGATTTCTTGATCAGTGGCCACTAACATTAGAGTCATTAGTCAGCCTCACTCAGCCAAGCACTGCACAGCTTTCCATTTTATCTTCCTCCAGCAGCAGTGGTGCATTTCATTGTTGCATATGTTCTCACTTATTGCTTTAATATACCGTAGCTTGGTGCCAGTACACACAGTGAATCAGCCACTCCAGAAAGCACGTGTGTCTCGCTCATGTATATAAATTAGCGTCTGATATGCCCACAGTGAAGTGGTCTGTGCTGGGAGTGTGCGTGCCCATCTCATGTGCAAGTCAGGCCCCGTGCTGGTCTGCCATCGCGATGGTGATGCACCATGTTGGGTCTTCGCTGCTCTGGGAAGAAATCCGTCTGTGTACCTGAGCTTAGGAAGGGGCTTATCTGTAGAGTCGCTTAGGATAAACCATGCTGTCATGTAATAATAAAACTGGTGACTGTTTATTGATTGATTATGGTCATCTTTTCAGTTGCTGGTTCACAGGAGCCTATAACAGAGCAGTTTCTTTTTTATTTGTCCAGGTTCTGACGGGTATCCTGCCTGTTCCAAAAATATACCTCCATGGGGCATCAGAGTTATTCTACATCCCTGTTGCTCTGCCTTTCCTAGCCAAGCATTCTGGATTGCTTTTTTTCACATGCTATAGCTCTCCAAAGATTAACAAACCTTCCCATCATTAAGCTTGTGAGTTTTTTCCCTGTAGCTCCTGAGCAGCAAATCTGTCCTTGAGTTCTGTTCTCACGGAGTGGTATGACTCCTTCTTGCAGAAGACATGAGTTGTAAGAAAAAATAAATGCTTATGCAGGTACCATGCAGGTTTCCCCACTTACCTGTCAGGCCAGGGGTGAGGTGCTGCTTAGGAACCTGAATCAAAGGAACATTCTGCCAGGAAAGGTGGAAAACTCAAAGATATGGTGTGTGATGTGTCCTTGGAATCTCTCTCTCTCCCTGCTTATCCCTGTATAGATATGTTTATGTTTATATATTTATTTATAGTTATATTTGTGTTTGTATTTATGTATTTCTGTGTGTGTTTGTAGGTCAATTGTCCTGGAAATTGGACTTTTTGATGCTTTGAAAACTGTTTCAAATGTGACCTGATGGCATGTATA